ATATGTCAATGATTTACAGGAGATTAATTTAAAATGTGATTCTAACTGTAAGTACCCCAAGAGTTAGTATTCTTGCTAAATTTCTGCTACTGAAATGTTTAATAAATTAATCAAAGTGATTTATATTTTGGGTCAGATATAACACAATATTGCTAAAATAATATCATATAAGAGATTGTTTTGTCTTTCCATGACTGATTAATCTTAACTCTTTTCTGGGTTAGGACAATTATCTTTGAATGAAGAAGTCATACTTAATGGTAAAATTTTGTATGGGAAAGTGTATTCCCTTGGGCAACTGTGCTTTTTTTTTTTTTCCATTTTCCTGAGATTATGTCATATTAAAAATTGTCTGGGAAAACTCATAGTTGAAGCTTCATAGTAGCAGAGATTTTGTTTTAGTCACTGCTATAGTCCCAGTGTCTAGCATTCAGTAGCTGATGAATAAATTAATTTACACAGAATATTACTGGGTACTTGAAAGGAATTTGGATGAATTCAAGAAAAATCAACTATCATTGACTCGAGTTGGATTTAAGTTGGATTTAAACTGGGGACTCTAGTTTGAACAAATTTAAAGAAAGTAATTAGCATATAATTCCAAGTAAAAATCTAGGAAGCACAGTGAAAACAAAATAATCTAGCTTTTAAAAAGAATGGCAATTTTGAGATTCTTCCAGCTGAGAGGGTGCTCAGTTCATCCTTGTGTCATCAGCTGAGCACGCACCCTATGCCACAAAAAAGTTTAATATTTGTTTTATTTTAATTAAAAATCTCCATGCTCATTAAATCATAGGTTAAACATAGAAGGTATAACTTTGATGTGTTAAAATATTTCTCCCAGTAACAAACAAAATTTTGACGATGTGTTGTGACTACATTTTTTTCTGCTTTTCAGAATATTTCAGGTTTACAAACTGAAGCTAAACTTACTGGACTGGAACCAGTCAGCACCTATTCTATCAGCATTTCTGCCTTTACCAAAGTTGGAAATGGCAATCAATTTAGTAATGTGCTGAAATTCACAACCCAAGAATCAGGTTAGACACGGTTTTTTAAACTTAAAATGTTTCCTTTTGTATTTGACCCTTTTGCTTCCGTTTCTCAGTTTATGTGACGAAGTATCATTCATTATTAAAAGTCCACTCAAAAGGAAGTTGAATTTCAATGCTTTAAAGCTAGACTGGGTCTTGTCTGCAATCAAATATGTGGTTCATATATATATTTACACATTTTTTTTTCTTTTTGATCAGAGGAAGTTGAAATAAATGATTAGCTTAGGGAAAAATTAGGCTTCTAGATATCTGTGAAAATTACCCAATTCTTAGGATCATCTGAGACAACTGGGAAAAAAAAAAAGAAAAAATGGAACAGTAGTCACTTTTAACAGGCTGATTTCTATTTTCATGAAACGATATCTATGATTATTTTCAGAAGCTGTGTTCCGATATTTAAAAATCACTAGTCACTATGTAAGCTTCCATTTTCCCCTGGTCTATCTGTAACACATAGAGAGGACTATGAAGACAATGAAATACCCTTGGTCTAATTAAGCAGCTTACCTACATGTGTCACGTACATGTCTCATTACTGAACAGTTTTCATTTATGACCTATTGGGTTGTCGGAAAAGTCATGATGCATTTTTGCAATGAAAACATAGAAAAAATACGTCATGACTTTTCTGACAACAAAATAGAACGGTGGCTTAGAAACATACTTTTCCTTCTCTCAACTAACCATATGTTTCAAGGTACTTCTTACTCACTTTTTTTTTTCAGTTATTATTGAATGAGCACAAGATCCTGTTCTAATCATTTCTTCTCTGTGCTTCTAGATGCACTTCCTCTTGTTTTACTGAACCTCTAAATTGAAATCGGAGACCACTCACTGATAAATTAGTTATTTTCTGCATTAATTTATGACTACCTGAGACTTTTTTGTAGCATACCTATAAGACAGGCTAAGTAAATAATATTTGTAGTGGATAAAAATGTGTGCTCTGAAGTCAGTGTCTGAATTTGAATTCAAACTCTGCGACCTACTCATTATATAACCTTGGGAAAGGTCCTGGACTTCTCTGAGTCTCTATATCCGTAACTGAAAAGAAACACACATTAGCAGTAGCCACTTAGCATATTATTGTGAAGGAATATTTGAGAAGATCCATAAAAAACCCTTGTTAGAATGTCAGACACACAGTCGGTGCTCAAAAAATATTACTGTTCTGCCTATTCCTGAATTATCGATGAAGAAGCCATGATTCAGGCAGATGAGATGAGAAGGACTAAGAACATTAGTGAAGAAACTGAACTAGAATATTGGTCTCTGACCTTCAGTGAAAGGTGGACATGACTGTAGGAAGTACATATTATCAATGAGTGATACTATATAAAAAATGCTAAGCCTATAAAGAAAAAAAAACATTTTAGCAATTTATACTTATATCAGGTTAATAAAAATCAAGGCTAATCTTGTAGACAGTAATTTGTAAACCAATAAATATTTTTAACCACTAAAATCAGATTATCCCACAAAATTCTATGCCCTGATTGGTTAAATAAAATTTTCAGCTTTTGGGGTTATAATATCAGCTGGTTAATTAATCACTTTTAGGTTCACAGAGTCAGTGAAACCCATGTTCAAAAAATCCAGGTTTATAAACTAAATGTAAGCAAGTAGGAAACTGTCTCCTGTTAACCTATTTGTTGAAAATATATATATTTTTCAAAATAAGGGAGCAAATAATTAATGACATTTAATTGCCAGAATCCTGGATCAGCCAAGAAATTATCTTTTCTTTAATTTTAAATGCCACTCATTTCCTAAGTATTCTCCTTTAGTTCTGATGCCTTTATCTTACAGAGGAAGAAGGGTTTGTTAAGATACAAATTTAGACTCAGGGAGAGAACTATAGGCTAGTTAAAAATTACTCAAGTATTCTTAAATAACTGTTCTACATAATGACAGTGAGTTGTTTTCTCTCACTACTTGTTTGCAATCCACGAATTGACTGTGTTCTAATTTTTCTTCTAGCATCCTCTTTTTACTGTAATACAAAAATCTAGGCTAACACTAGGTAGCATTAGATAATTAAACATTTCTCTGGGAAGCAACCAGTCACTTTGGTGGGCTAAGGTTTACTCTTTAACCAGGTCTACCAGATAGAGTGAACCTCTGAGAAATCGGGTTACTTCTAAGTGAATTCAGAGAAGCTCTACAAAAAAGTTGGACTGATTTTAATCTTCCTTCCAGTATTTTTAATAAGGTACTGAGGACTCAGGTCTTCACAGTTTTTCCAAAAAACCCATCCAAATATAAAAGCAAACCCTTTAAATCGGTTACATGTTTGCTAGTACTGTTAGGCCCAGATGTGCCACATCAGGGAGGCACCTACATCTATGTTTTGCATAAAAAGTTTCATAGTAAAGTATTGCTAAGACTGATCCTTTCTGATGAAGAGATAGAAAAGCAGCTTCAACCACTGCCTGAGCTTGAAGCCATACAGTTTCTTCAGAGGATTTGAGGGTGGAATTGCTATTTTGCCTGGGAAAATATTCAGTGACTGGTTCAGTATTGCAAGAATTAACACGAGAGGAAAGACAGTAGGCCAACCCCCATTTGGTTCAGCCTTTGCTAAGAACTTTTTGAGCACAAATTGAAAGGTTGCTATGTGAATTGTTTCTTCTCCCTCTACTCCTAAAGAAGTTTACCTAGCAATCACACAATTAGATTTGTTTACTACATGTGTATGAATTTTAACTTTAGGAATGTGTTTATCTCTTAAGTTCCAGATGCTGTACAGAACATACAGTGTATGACAATTAGCTGGCAGTCAGCTATGGTGAGGTGGGATCCACCCAAAAAGGCAAACGGAATCATTACACATTATACGATAACAGTTGAAAGGAATTCGACAAAAGTCTCTCCCCAAGATCACATCTATACTTTCATGAAACTTCTTGCCAATACCTCCTATGTCTTTAAAATAAGAGCTTCAACCTCAGCTGGTGAAGGTGATGAAAGTACATGCAACGTCAGCACGCTACCTGAAACAGGTAACTAATCTGAAACAGGTAATTTACCTGAAAAAGATAACTAACTGGAAACAGGTAACTATTCTGGATGATGTCATACCTCTGTCAATACCATTTATAACCTTTATAGCACATTTATCTAAAGATATGAAAGGAATATTAAAAATGACAACACATACTTTTTATCCCATGTGTAACCAGAGCACCAGCTGTGGTGTACATTAACCCTTCTCCACAACATTGGGAAATTGTGTTTCCACAAATATCTGTGTTTTACTATCCAAACTTACTGAATTATGCTTTATCATAATTTAAACTATACATAGAATGAACATGGTAAACTTTTCCATCTCTCTCTTTTTTTTCTTAATTGATCTTACCAAATTCTAGGTGGTTCCCTGAATTCTATAGTGGCAGTTAGACTCACTCACTTCTATTTCTACCCTAGATATCAGGCTTTACCTTTTATATTATTTGAATAGAAATATTCGGGTCACTAAGGCCTGGTCTACAAAGCAGACAACTCTCGCTCTCCCTAGCAGTGGTCCACCCCTATGTCACAATCTCCTTCATTCTCTACCTTCTCCAATAGCCTACCTTCTCATATAAATGAAAACCTGATTCCTTCCTGATAACACCGAATTCCTGGTGGTGCTCCCCAGTGAGCATTGTGCACACTGGCCTCATTGTTGACCTCTGGTACATCCAGAGCCTCTATCTTGGAAACATCTTTTAAACCTTTTCTCCTTTTGAAATCGGTGTCACCCAATTTTATTCCACTTTTCTACCCTTGAGACTGTAAACCACATAACTTTGCAACATGGCATACCTTCTCCCTGATTTCAGCATCCCAGTCAGCATTCTTTGCTTCTCATCCTTCCGATGCCACCTTTCTTCAGACTTCAGTGTTTCCTCTGTTCAGTTGGGATGGATGCGTTTCAACACCTTTCTCAGGATCCGTAGATGTCAAACCACGTGATTGTGACCATCGTCCAGGAGATTCCCAACTCTGAGAGGATTCTGCTTCTTTTGTTTTTACCAGATGCCAGCTGATGAATAGTGCTAGAAAAAAGTAGAAATGGCTCAGCTATAAGTTGTTCTGCTCTAAGTTAACCTTCTGTAACTCTCCCAGCTGCTCCACAATTTTCTATACATCTCTCATTTACACTCTTATCAGTTTTCCATAGGAAAATTTTGTTCTCATTCTGAACATAGTCTACTCCCACTATCATCCATATTTGTTATCATTCATTTTACTCATAATATCAAAGATATTGATTTGCCCTCCTTCAGACTTGACCCATTTCTTTATTTATGCTCTCCAGATATCCCCTCTTAGCAATGTTATTGCCTTTCTCTTTTCAGGAATCTAGCTGCTCATTTTTGTTTCAATCTCATGTCTCCTCTAGAACATTACCTCCTCAATTCAATCTGCGTTCTCCTGTATTTTATCTTTTCTCTCTCCCTTGTGCACTCATGCATGACAGCATGCACACATACACACAATTACACATTGTTAGAAAATTTCAACCGAGGACCAGGTTGGTATATCAACCTCAAACATATTCAAAATGAAGTTTATGTTACATGAATTCTCCTCTTTCTCACTTTCCTATGCCTGTTCTTTATAATCAGTTGGACACCAACCCTCATATTTATATGAATTTTTCTCCCATCTCCCCTATGTATAATCAGATCTTATTACTTCAGTCGCTGCCATGGCTCTGCAATTTGCCCCTTCTCCAACCTGACTGCCCCCATTTTATACCAGACTCTTGTTGCTTCCTGTAATAGTACCCTAAAGTAGCCTTATTACCCATACTCATCCAGCTGGCCCATCAGTCTCATCTTTCCACCCACTTACTTTAACTGCCTTGGCTCTGATATACAATTTAGAGCATTTATGTGTTGTCAGTTAAGTTTATTATCTGAAGAGTAAGAATTAGAAATATAGGTTTTGGCATCTAAAGCATAGAGGTGACAATGAAAGGCACAATGTGTATTAGATGACCCAGAATACTCTAAATGTCTTACCTATTCTCATTGTCTACAAAATTTATCCTAGAGTTCATCACCAATTAGAATTTGGCTTCTGTCTAGCTTTCCATTCGTATGTCCCTCCACTACATCTCTTCGTATAGCTGATGCCTCTAGCCATATTTCATTTATTCAGCACATTAGATTTCATGTATTCAATTAAAAATAATTAAGCACCTGCTATGTGCTAATAATTGATGAGATTCTCTTCTTTAAACATACACAGCACTTTTTCACCATCAGATTGCTTTGCTTTCTATAGCTATACTGCCTTTCTCTATCACAAAAAATTGTATTCATTCTTAAAAGCCCAGATTAAATGTGTGAGTTTTTATTTTTTATTATTTTTATTTTTTTAAGTCTTCAATGATATGCCAAGCTTTAAAGCTCCAGATTTCTGGAATTCACCCCAAACTTGCTGAATCAAGGCCTCAAGATGTGAAGCCCAAGAACCTGTCCTATACTTTTAAGCATCTCTCCAGGTGATCTGACATTTTGAGAAACACTGGAGTAGATTACTCAGGAGCTTTGATGGCAGGTGATATGTAGCAGTGAGGACAGGCAAACAGTGTCAGAGAGGTCCAGAAAGGGGTGACAGGTGTTTTCCCAGTGGGTGGGCAGCAGAACATTGCTATGCAGACTTGGGGAGAAGGAATTATGTTCCAATCCAGGCAGGTGGTCTGCACCAGGGTGGTCCGGCACCAGGTAAAATGGCCTTGACCATTGGACAGGAGCTGAGTCTTAGAGAACTGGGGGGAAAAGATAGGACAATAATTCTAAGATAAATGAGAGGTTCAGGACTCTGAAAACAAGGTAACTGACTCATTATTTTTTAGTCCACTGTACTCGAGATGACTGTGTATTCACAGGAACAAAGCAGAAGTTCAGTTAGTAGAACTGAGATACAAAATCAAAGTGTAATGCACTTGATATAAAAAAAAATTCTTTAACTAAGGGTTTGAATTGGATCTTAACTCAGGATTAAAAGACCATACGAGCGGAGGTTGGAGGGATTCTAAATCCATGAATTAGGGCGATATTAGACATATTGTACAATGTACTGTGCACTCAATACTAAAGACAAATGTTTCTCAAAGTTTGAACTTCTGGCTCCCTACATCTGAATATGCACCCCTGAACTCCTCTCCTGCTCCAGACCTATGGAATCAGACTTTGGAAATTAAGATTCACAGGTCTTCATTTAAACAAGTTGTGTGGGTAATACAGTGCTGACGTTTGAGAACTGCTCTATTCCAGTGTAGATTCTTTGCTTGTGGGGACTGTGTCTTATTTGTCTTGGTTTTACTCACAGTTCCTGGCAGGAACCTTGGGAATTGTAGCCACTCAAATGTTTATAGAAGAAAGAAAGAAATTTTTTTCCTATGAAACTCATAATTTTTCAGAAGGGTGTTCTTTTTTTTTTTTTTTACTCCATTATGCTATATTATTTCCACCAGGTGAAATTATAGATATTTCTCCCAGGCAAATATAAGTTTCTCTTTCAATTAAGGAGAGTCATTCATATGAAACATGGGTATTAATTGCTGCTTCCAAAATATTTAAATAATTTTCCCGCCTTTCAAATTAAGTTTCAGGGCTAGTATGTATAATAATTGTATTTATGATTACAGTACTTATTAGGTAAATAATTGGCTTTCATCTGGGTTCACATGAATTGTTGGTTGATGAGATACATGTTAGGAAGAACTGGAGAGTCATTGTTCAGAATGGAAACAGTTTTATAGCTGTTGCAAACTAGTAATTTATGGTGGTCCTGATTAGTCACAGGGTATAGGCAGCTCTGAGTCACTGACTCTGTGCGTATTTTTGACATAAACTAAAATCAAATTTGGCTCAGTCTCTCAGTGCCTAGTGTCTGACCTTAGCATTCCTTCTAGGGATTATTGGGTTTGTTTCTCAGTGTAAACTTGGTCATATCTGAGTACAGTTAAACATGCGTCATGATGATTGAATTTATGAGGAGATTAGAGTTTGGTGTCTAAACTGGTTCCCTTGTCACAAACATGTTGGAATAGAGAAAAATATAGATGAAGTCCTCCAAACCGGGTACTTTTAACAGCATTTAATGGCAAAATATATCATATGTACCAATAAAAATATTTTATAGCAAGTTCATGTGCCTGTAAAACAACTTTTAGAATCTCAAGTTCAGTTCGAAGTGCATGCACTTATCTATATTATTTTCAAATGTTAGTAAATGTGGTGATTTAATATTGAGTTTTAAAAACTTGTTCTTTTGTGTGTGTGTGTGTGTGTGTAAGATACTTTTACAGTTTGAATTTATTCAAAGCGCTTCCAAGTTCAGTAATTTAGAAACAAAGAAAAATAAGCTATGTCCTTCAGATACCTAAAACCTGTTGTGATTGAGGAAAAGTAAAATATGCAGTTGTAGTTTTCAGGAGTGCTCTTTTCTGCATTGATTTCTTTACTAACTTTTTGTCAATGGGACGTATCAGGAACCTGTAGTGATCCACTGGAAGTTCATTGAGTTTGCAATTATATTAATGGCACAGTATGATTCGGTGGGGATGTGTTTAATTTTCCTGTTTCTTTTTTTTTTTCCCCTTCTCCTCTTGGTTCCTTCAAATACCTATACTGTTTAATAGATTCCCAATCCTCTCCTGCAAAGCCTTGACCACCATCCCCCTAAGAACTGTTTAACAAGTGTGTTTGTTAGGCACTTTATTTGGATCCCTGCATTGTGGAACTCTAAGAATTCATTACTGTTCTTTAGTCCCCGTTAAGTGAGATTGAGTGTAGGTGGTGAAAGTGTTTCTCAGGGTTGCAAATGAATTCACTCATTTAAAAGTTCACTTTTTTCTTTGTCTGACGCCCACTGACGTTGCTTTCCTCACCCATCTTCTCAGTCAGATAAGGAGTCAAACATGCAGGAAAATTGCATAATCCTATTTGCTCTTAAGCAAGTGAACTGACACATTCTACTTACCAGTCAGTGATTGCTG